ATTGCCCTCACCTGTCGAAGCATGTAAAGATGGTATATACCACCATAAATGGCATTTATTTACCTATCAGAACCATTTCTTCCCTTGTAATTCTCCGATTCAAGATGTTTTCCTGACATAAAGAATTAGTAATCAGCACCAGCCCATTCTACCTTCTTTTTCTTTTGTGCCAATGCCAGGTAATAGGGAAACTTGCCAAAGGGTAGAATTAAAAATCTAGAGTCCCATAGTACCTGTATGGCCCACTTAAAGGGAGGCCTGGGATAACAGAAAAAAAAAAAAATCTCTATAGATTTGTGTTACATAGACAATAAAACATATACCTTTGTAGCATGCCAGCATTCAACCAATCATAGAAGCTATTTGTTGCCTCATATATTACAAAGCAATAGAGATTTAAGGGATAATGTTCATGGAGGCAGAGGATACGAAGCAATAAACAGCACTGGAGGTTGGTTAAATGCCAAGTGAAGCCAGGACTACAGCACCATAAACATTATTCCTATTATATGACAAGATAAGGAGGTACAAGAAGCTGCCCTCAATCCCACCACAACTAGGGCTCTCCTGATATTCCTGGCCTTAGAAAGGGAAAGCAGGCCCTGGAGGTCTATGAGCTAGTTACACGTTTCCTGTCTTGGTTAGGTATGAACAAACCCTCAACCTGGACCTATATGTCCTCTGGGAGAACAAAAGATCTGGTAATAGATAGCCTTAGGGGGGAAAAGAATAACAGCCCCTCGGGTCACACTGAACAGAGAACAATCAAAGGACTTTTCCTTACAGGGACAGAGTTGATACAGAGGTGGTTATGACAGAAATCTTCCTCAGTGGCTAATAATGGGATGATACTGTCCATTAGAAGTATCTCCTCAGAGGAAATGTGTTCCCGTTCTTAAAGAAATAAGACATTCTAAGTAATAAGCTTCTATGATCAGCTTCTATACAAAGACTCCGTTATGGTAACCGGAAGGACTACTTATAATCTGCATAATCTGTACTGCAAAACAGTGTCATATTCCCAAGAGGGTGGTATAGGAATATGGAATTTGTTGACTCCTAGTAATAAAAACTGGGGAAAAAAGCATCCAAAGGATAAGTTGTCTAACTACATTTATAAATTCAAGATTACTGTCAGAAACACAGTACAGTTGACCTTTGAACAACACAGGTTTGAATTGCACAGGTCCACCTATATGTGGATTTTTTTCTCTTCCTTAGAATTTTCTTAACATTTTCTTTTCTCTGGCTTACTCCATTCTGAGAATATAGTATATAGTGCATATAACATACAAAATGTGGGTTAATCAATTGTTCATGTTAACTGATAAGGTTTCAGGTCAACAGTAGACTATTAGTAATTAAGTTTTTGAGGGGTCAAAATTATATGCAGATTTTTAACTCCCCCAGGTGCTAACCTCTGCATTGTTCAAGAGTCAACTGTAGTTTTTCTTTCTTCCACATACAATAGAATAACTTAATGATCCACCTTTGAGTAAAACTGTTCCCAAAGCATCAAAAACTTAAAAGACTACCTAAATTCAGCACCAAACTATACTTCTACTATTTTATAACACAGAAGAAAAGCCATTTTACAGTCACAATGGTTTTAATTAGATGTTATCTTATAAACATTTCAAAAACCCAAACCACTCAAATTCAACCCAAACCTTTGCCACGGGGTATCTGGGGTACTGTTGCCTTAACAACACTAATCCATTCTCTGGAGGCAGCTCTATTAACTATTCCTGCTACCACATTCCATTGAGAGGTATTAGCATGAATATTGCTTTCCCTAAGTTCCTCTTCATGAGAGTGATGAGGCCTCAAGAGAAACAGGTTCTTAACAGGAGAATAGGGATGAAAGGGCTCAAAACACCCTATCATCTGTCTTTTCAGATAAGAATGCAGAGAATACAACCTTCAGCAGCCATCTTTCTTTTAAAAAAGTGCATGCAGCATATTTAGAATTCAGCTGTGTCACATCAGACTTACTGTTGGGAAGTGGATCATGAACAGAATCCAAAAATAACAGCCATTAAAGACCTAGCAACCAAAACATGTTTACGTATCCATTGAAAGCCCGGTGGTTTTGATTATATGGTGGAGAGCATAATCCACTAGTCTATTTTAGGTGAATTTTCCTTTCACCTTCCCTTAATATTAAGGCATAAGATGATTTCTGAGTTTAGGGGGTACACAGCGTAAAGTCTGGGCAGAGAACAGATATCGAACGTAAGATTCCTACAATTTTTGTTGGTTGGTTTTTTTAAGGATCAGTCTCTTGAATTATAATTTGCTTTCATTCCTTCTTCCTCTAAGTGGTAGAAACCACTAATTTTTGAGGGTTCTATGGCAGTAAGTTCTTTTTTTTTTTTTTTTATGGCAGTAAGTTCTAAACCATGTCTTGTAAAAGTGATCATGGTTCTTATTACCACTCCTGGGATTTACACAGTCCTTTTTTTTTTTTTAATTATTCTACCATTTCTGGAATAAAAAATTTGAATCAATGACAGTGGATTATAAATAGCTTGAAGGCCTCAAGTGGCTCCCGGATGAAACCATTTTTAAGGGATATAAGGAAGCTGGATGACAAGCCAAGGGTAGTTCGCTTTCCCAAATTTATCTTCTCTGCCAGATTTCCACTATTTCATATGATAGAAAGCAATCACAGTAAAGTAAATCTTGCAGAGATCCTACTTGAGAGTTAATTGTTACTAGATATTGGGAGAAACTTGTTAAGAGATTATATAACTAAAGAACTACAATTTTGCCCAACCATAAAGTTCTGACATACAAAGGAGGTAAAGGGATAGATCATGCTCAAAGCCTTAAACTATAGCTTTCTATCCTTTTCTATGAAACAAGTAACTTGAATCCAAAAGAAGGTAGCAACCTCTCTTAGTTCTATATATCCACTAAGAGGGGGGAAAAAGCCTTCAGGACCTACACTAGAGGTTATAATGAATCTTAACAACCAAAATACCAGCAAACAATTCAGAAATGAGAGGAAGAAGTAGGGGAAGGAAAAGGCTTATGATAAACAGTATCCAACAATGTAAAAAGTCCCTAGTATTTTTACCACCTCTAGTCCCAAAAATGCAAAACAAAAAGAAACAAATACAAAACCCTCTGGATCTCACAAGTTTCAGTGAAAACTACTCTTTTCTGATGAGTCGGTCCGAAGAAACCTATTTATACCTTTCTTCCTTGGGAGCTTAAGAGATGCTTTTCCAGTGTATTCCTTTACTTTTAAAATCCTTTCTAGTTTCGTCCTTGTCTAAGTGGTTTTAAGCATAAAACATAGAAGAGGGGCAGTGAGAAGCTTAAACAATAAGAAAAATAAATTTAAGTACGAGAAAAATCTTTTCACCAATAATGCAGTCTTTTATTTTATTTTTTTAAAAAGATTTTGTTTATCTATTCATGAGAGACACAGAGAGAGAGGGAGAGGCAGAGGGAGAAGCAGGCTCCACGCAGGGAGCCCGATGTAGGACTTGATCCTACTTGGGTCTCTAGGATCATGCCCTGGGCTGAAGGCAGGCGCTAAACCACTGAGCCACCCAGGGATCCCCCAATAATGTCGTCTTTTAAAGGGAGGTAAGTGAAAGGGGTCCCAGGTATCAGTGATGGAAATCACAGTAAATACTATTATCAACAAATCCACATACAAAAATTTAGAGGGATCATGTTTGGTTATGTATTCTAATACAGCTGTCTGAAAAGTGAAACAAAAACAAAGTTAACAAAAAAAAAAAAAAAGTTAACCTAATTTCCCAAGTGGCTTCTATTGTAAAAGAATAAAATACAAATCATGTTGGAGAAAACATACAGTCAACAATAAAGTTGAAAACTCTGACAAGGAAGGAAATATACCCTATGATGCTGAATACTTCAGAATGCAATGGCTTTTTTAATCTTTTCTGAATTTTTCAGCTTTTACTGGAACTTGGAATCCTCCTTCTGCCTATCTCTTGTCACTACCCTCATCTCATTGACCTCTCAAATTCCAATTCTTAGGAAATCTCTGGAACTTAACTCTTCTTTCTACGGAAGTATTTACAATGTTTAATAGAACTAGTCTGCAATCTCACATACTACCAGTAAGTGTCACTGGGGAGTCACATGGCATATTCCTAACTGAACAGAAATTCAACCCTTCAAGTTCCATAAAATCAATTCATGAAGGCTGATAAAACTTCCTTTGTATTCCTTTCTTCATCCTTTGTGGAACATGGCAGTAGAGGAGGGTTTAGGAAAAAGAGTTAAGAAGGTGCAAAATTGGGGGAAGGGGGATAAAAAGGCAGTTTCAGCAAAATTACTTGATTAAAAAAGCATATAATAAAAAATATCTGACACATAATGTACACATATGCAAATAATAATATGGCAGCTAACACACAGACCAAGGCATTTCATGGCATCAGAGAGGGAAGATGGCTGAGAATCTTGTACTTTCTATATTGCTGTGAGATCTCAGGTTCTATGTCGGATTTGTATTTCCTACTTAGACAAGATATTTGCCTTAGCTACCAACAATGAATTGGTCCAAAGAAACTTTTTTTTCTTATTTAAAAAAAATCCATTAGACTCCAGCAAATTGGGGTTCATGATGCACAGGGTACATTCTCAGCTGCCTACTCTAAATATGTTAAGCAGACTTTTATATCCACAAAGGCTGAGGAAAAGATATTTCTAAACTTGTTTTATATTTAGATGGATAGCTTTAGAAAGGAGGAGAGAGCAACATGTATTCCTCAACACTGTGTGTTGGGAAACAAACACCAGTAGAATAACAATATGAAAGAGAGCAAGGCAGATTTCATTACGGTAGAGTGCCTACACTTCCTCATAACATGGATTTACACACTGCAAATCCTCTGATCTGATTACCTCCAGTGATCACGTAAAATACCGGCTTTAAACTCTTTGCCTTAGTGATAAAACAGCCACTTTGATTCACAACGAGACATTCACAATAAAGTATATTGTAAACGTACCTGTCCACAGCCCGGGGCATTGCACACAAACGGTCTGTCGTCTCCCATATTTCATATAGCAGAGCGGAGCTGAGGAGGGGGAGGCAGGGGGAAAAGTTATGTTAAATACGCTGGAGTTTAAAAAAAAAAAAAGTGCTTCAAAAATATCAAGCCTAGAAACAGGTGTTCCAAGAATGCTGTCTATCAAAGCTATAAACATAGGCTACTTTGGGGAGACCCATTAGACAGGTGGCATATGATCTATTGTGCCTCAACTGAAACTTTTAATTAGAAAAACTGAGACCTAAATAGTCAAGGAATTTCAAACCTTTTGCTAGATTTTCCCTCTTTCTGCTACAGTATATAACATGCTCCTCTAGTCTGCTGAATTACAATCAGTGCAGTTCCCTATGTCAATAAATCCACTGAACATTCGATGCGGAAGCCATATTTCTGAACTAGAGAAGACCAAAATTTGTCATTTAATTAATTAAGGGATTATAGGAGGGGTGCTCCATTTTACAGGGCTATAATCTGACTCCCTGGTGTATAAACTACGAGACTGTTGGCAAGGGCCGTTTATCCCAGATTATTGCCAAAGAAAACAAAGCACCCATCCTATTGGGCTACACGGGAAATGATTTTCATTAATAAAAAAATAAAAATAAAAACCTTCTCTCCCCACTGGGAGCCTCCTTCTCCCCCCACCAATTGTCTGTGGCAAATGGAGAAATATCGGTGCCCTTCCCCCTCTAATTCTATTTATGGCTAGGTTTTTAAAAGCAGCAATAAAACAAATGTCGACTCTTTGGGGGTTTACTGGGTGAATATGTTCCGGCTGTTTGTGCTGCTCTCGGCCAGAGTTCTTGGGCTGCTCTGTTGCAGCCAACAGATGTGTGCTGCTGCAGGGGATAAAAGAAATGGCACTAAAAGGCATCACCATCCATCCTCTCTATTTCTCTGAAGAATTTAACAGGGCTTATACTGTTGTTGTTTTTTAATTATTGAAGCTAAACTCTTGAAATGTTGATCGAAATTCTTTGTCAAAGAACAATAATTCCAGTATGAATGTGTTGGGGAAATTTCTCACTTTCCAACTAAGAAAAAAAAAACAGAGGTAGAGATGGATAAGGATGAGAAATGCAAATCATAGTAAAAATATTCCTAAAAGAGAAATAGGGTTGGGGGTGGGGCACAAAGATAGTCCTCATGGAATAAACTCCTAAAGAATATTTTCAAACAACTTTCTACAAGAAAGAAAGGTGTATAAAAGAGTACTAACATGGGAAGATGAAAGAGGAAGAATCATAATTCGAATATGCCTAGAAACAACTTCAGAACTGTAATCAAATTCAAATTTTTATCTTGGAGATAAAGCAAAATGTCAGGTTAACTTCACTCAGGTCTGCATTAAAATAAAATGTTAAAGTACTAGACTAATTTGGTAATCAGAAAACCATGCTTAAAACTCAGAGGGTTTAAAAAAAAAAACAGAAAACAAAAACAAAAAAACTCAGAGGGTAGCTAGGTAACATCTCTCCTACTCTCTTCAGACTCACTCTGGGGTTGGAAACCAGTATTTCTCGTACTCTGTGTGATCAGTAATTCTACAACTAATCAGTGTTTAAAATTGTTGGTGTTCCATAAAATAGAAGGGGCTCCTTAGTCATCTTTCAGTGTGCTAAGAACAGGGTTTAACTATGAAGGAAACTGATGCTGCAGCATTGCTGTAATGGAAGAGAGCCTGTATGTACATAGGTGTACACAGATTTATATCACATTTAGCCAGGATAAATTGCTTCAATAAATTCTGTTCCTAGGAGAAGCCAGCTGAAGCTGATGATTGGGTACTGGGAAAATGAGAGCTTTATTCTTCTTCACACAGCCCCAGGACACGGGGGTTTTCTGGTTTGTTTGTTTTAAATACATGATGATTTTTAGCACTTTCTGGAACTATGACATAGTGCAAAAAATAAATATAAAGTAAATAACAGTAAATAAATGCAAAGACCATAGCCATTATGACTGAAAATTCAGAACATTTCTGGAAAGCAATTCATCTCTGGAAAAATTCCTAACTGCTGTGCTGGAGATAATTTTATTTCCTAGTCCCAAACTCTGCTTTCCTAATATAATCATGAAATGAGAATTTTATTTCAACAAGGTCCTGTAGCATATTTTTAACCAGGAGGTAAACTACAAGGGCTAGAGCAGACATAACATAAGGACCTGGTAGCATTCCTTCCTTTTACCTTGGTTCTGTTATTTGAGGCTAAATTCTAGTTACAGGAGGAAAAGGGTGCTTGCTGGCTGAGGAGTAGGGCAGCACTGGCGTAGGAAGTGATTAAATAAACTCTGGAATGGTTTCCCTCCAACCACAAAATTCAAAATTTAACTTGGTTTTCTTGGTTTTGTACAATCATATCACGATAAATGGCTTCCAAGTTTTATTTAACTGCATCCTTACTAGGAAATAGAAATGAAATATCATGATTTGCTAAAAGAAAACAAAAGGCAAAACCAAGTTGGGGGAAAAGTATTAAATGTATCAGAAGCATTTTCAGGGCTCTGAAACACTCTAACAATTACTAACTAGGATTTCCTGCTTCCTTCCCACTTTACTGGCTTTTTGTTTTGCCATTTTCACCAAAAGAAGGATCACAATGGGAGGAAAAAGGCCCTCTTTCTTAAATACCCACAATTATTCTGAAATCATTCCTCAGTCTCTTGCTCCTTTTCATTTCCAGCATTCTTGCTTTTTCACTTTAAAGTGACTTGTCTTTTTAAAGAATACATTACAACAATAATGATCTGTTCTCCCACTTAAAAAAAAATCCAGCTTATATCTTTTAAAATTCCCAGTGTGCTGCATCAATTGCTACACATAAGAAATGCCATTGCTTATTTCTATTTGAGACTTAAAACAAATCTCTAATGAGATAGGTCAAAATGATGCCTTCTCAAAACAAAAAACACCACATTTCTGTAGTAAAAACAGACTGAGACAAAGGTGAAATCTTGAATATAGATGCTCCCATTCACCAGAATTTAACTCACAGCCCATTTGTAACTGTACAACTTGACAAATAGATCACGTGTCTGGGCATGACACTCACGTCTGTCTGCTCCTCCATCTATCTATTCCCTAGGATGAAACTCAAGCATTTTATAGAACTAACCAATAAATGACAGGCAAAGGATACACAAATTAAGAGACATTTCCAGGAGAAGTGAGATGCTTTCAGAGGAGATCTTTTTTTTTTTTTTTCCAGAGGAGATCTTAAAACAAGAAAACAAAGATTCAGAAAAAGGCTGTCTTAGAAGCCAAGTCTACAGAGGAAAAGGCTCATGTACTGAGTCACCATAATGCATAAATGATAAAAATTACTATTTACTCAGATGAGAGAAAACTTATCTGAATGCTGGGAGAGAAGTAAAGAAAATCCAAGATATAGAGACTGATTTTTAATAACTGGGATAATTTCATAAAACCTACGTTAAATAGTTTTGTCAGAGCCAGAAGTATATCCTAAAATGGTCAATGTGCAAATAAGAAAACAGATTATCTGTGTGTGTATATGCATATTTATCTTTTTTTCTTCTTTTTTTAACAGAATGAGAAAGAATAGAATAGAATTTGGAATAAAATAATAGAACTTGGAAGCCATTTATCATGATATGATTGTACAAAACCAAGAAAACCAAGTTAAATTTTGAATTTTGTGGTTGGAGGGAAACAATTCCAGAGTTTAATCACTTCCTATGCCAGTGCTGCCCTACTCCTCAGCCAGCAAGCACTCTTTTTCTCCTGTAACTAGGTAGAAAACAGAAAATTTAGCCTCAAATAACAGAACCAAGGTAAAAGGAAGGAATCCTACCAGGTCCTTAAGTTATGTCTGCTCTAGCCTTTGTAGTTTACCTCCTGGTTGAAAATATGCTACAAGATTTTGTTGAAATAATATTCTTGTTTTGTGATTATATTATATTAGTGTTATATTAGTCTGTCACTGAGGACTACAAAGTCAGTTCTCTGGACCTAGTGGTAGTGTGTTTATTTCTTTGGTAACCAATTGCTGTTCATAAAATGGCCCAACTTTAGTAAGGAATAAAAGCCAGGTACAAACACACCCAAAGGCCTGTTCTTAGGTTCCTAATAACAAAAACCAGACACTGCTAAGTACAAAAAATGAGAAAAGCATATGCACCATTAATATCAAAGATTCATGAAAATCTAGAAGGGGTTCAGACTTGCTATCGTTCATTCATTCAAAAAACATTACCAAGAACTAAATGCCAGGCAAAGTAGACATAAAAATAAAAAGATAATAATCCTTTGCAAAACAAAAAAAAATTTTTTTTTCACTCATCTGTGTCAAAGAAAAACTAGAGCTAGGAAGTAGTTAAAGTAAAAAACAGTTGCTAGTCAGAACTATTGCAATAGGGGAAAAGAAACCTCAGTATAGAACTGGGCTCAATTCTGAATACATCATGGGTAAGTGGAAATTTATAGCCAAGGACCATGGTGGGGGTTAATGGGTGGAAAATTACTGAGTTTGAAACATCAGGAGAAGGGGGGTTTCTGACTTAAACCAACCTAACAAGATTCTTGCTAAAGACCCACCAGGATGATCAGATATAACCTGGAAGATGGTCAAAGATGAAGAACCTGATCAGATATGAAGGTGATATCAATGGTGGGGATTCTTGCTAAATCTGGATCTTACAAGAAAGTACACAGATAGGTCTAACAGAAGGTTCAGGAACCTGCCTAAAGTTTGATCAAAGAATCTTTGTCATCTGGCATGAGAGATGCCAGTAAGTGGTAAGAATGGCTTAGTTTACAAGTTCAATTAGTCAGAGATTGATCAGTGTACATATTAGATACCTTGATATTTCTTATTCTTTATGTTCATTTATCAAATTCCTTTGCTAGACAATTCCAGAATATAGGCATGAACACAAAAAAGAGGTGTTAAAAGTCTTGGTAAAAGATCTGACAACGAGGCAGCCCAGGTGGCTCAGCAGTTTAGTGCCGCCTTTGGATCAGGGCGTGATCCTGGAGACGCCGGATTGAGTCCCACCTCGGGCTC